CATTATTACAATTAAATTGGTATTAAGCCATACTAGATTGTTTTAAGATGTTCATTGTAATCCACAGGACAACCACTAAGAAAATAACCAAAAGCATAATAAAAGAAACAACAAGGTAATTAAAGAGGCACAGTAAAAATATATACCTAATGTAAAGAAGGTAGTGATGGAGGACTAGAAAAACAAAAAAGACATAAGACAGAGAAAACAAATAATAAAACAGCAGACTCAAGTCCTACCTTATCATTAATTAAATGTAAATAGATTAAACACTACAGTCAAAAACCAGTGATTGGAAGATTGGATCAAACCTTATGCTATCTACAAGAGACACATTATAGATTCAAAGGCAGACTGATTTAGATTATACAAATGGGGTGGGGGGGAAAGCCATGTAAACAGTAACCAAAGAGACCTAGACATAAATCAGGACATTTTATGATGGTAAAAGGTTAATCCACTATGAAGATATAACAATTAAAAACATGTTGTTGCTGTTAGTCACTCAGTCGTGTCCAACTCTTTGTGACCCCATGGACTATAGCCTGGCAGGTTCCTCTGTCCATGGGATTCTCCAGGCAAGAATGCTGGAGTGGGTTGCCACTTCCTTCTCCAAATTATAAATATAGGTGTATACCTAACCACAGAGCCCTAAAATACATAAAGCAAAAACTGACAGAATTAAAGAGAGAAATAGACAATTCAGTAACAATAGTTGAAGATTTCAACGGAACTTCAATAAAATAACTAGGCAGAAAATCAACTAGGAAATAGAAGACTTAACAACCAAGTACATACTGAGTATAAACCAAATAAATCTAACAAACATCCATAGAATATTTTATCTAACAACAGCAGAATACACATTCTTCTCAAGCAACATGCGGAACATTTTCCAGGATAGACCACCCATTAGGCCATAAAACATGTCTCAGTACATTTGAAAGGACTGAGTATGTTCTCTGATTATAATGAAATAAAATCAGAAATGAATAACAAAAAAAAATTTGTGAAATGAACAAATATTTGGAAATTGACAACACATTCCTAAATAACCAGTGGTTCAAGGGATGAATTCTAAATAAAATTAGGAAACACATTGAGATGAATGAAAACAAATACAAAATACCAAAGGTTCTGGAATACAGCTAAAACCGCGCTTAGCAGGAAATCAGTAGCTGTATACATCTATATTTAAAAAGAAAGAAAATCTCAAATTAATAACTGAAACTTTTACCATAAGAAATGCTGGGGGAAAAGGGCAAATTAGATGCAGGCAAACAGGGAAAGAAATAATAAAGATTAGAACAGAAATAAACTAGAAAGTACAAAAACAAAAAATCAATAAAACCAAGTTTGATTATTTGATAAAAATCAATAAAATTGACAAACTTTTAGCCAGACTAACCAAGAAAAGAGAGAAAAGACTCAAATTACTGAAGTCGGAAATGCAAGAGGATACAGTATGTATAGTGAAGAATTAACCTTATGAAAAACGAGGTTTGGCCTTTGCCCTTGGCTACTGGAACATGATCTCTAGTGTAGTCGCTCAGTCGTGTCTGACTCTTTGTGACCCTGTGGACTGTAGCCCACCAGGCTCTTGTGTCCATGGGATTCTCCAAGCAAGAATACTGGAGTGGGTTGCCATTTCCTTCTCCAGGGAATCTTCCTGACCCAGGGATCAAACCTGGGTCTCCCGCATCACAGGCAGATGCTTTACCCTCTGAGTGACAGCCTTTTGAAAAGTCCTGTCTGATAAGAGTGTCTTTGCTGGGCCTTTTAGCCATATTGTCTTTTTTCCAATCTCCAAAAGAGCTGGAGGTTTGAGGCTTAATAGTTAACCCACCCTCTGGTAAGGACTGGAGACTAACAGTCAGCAGTCATGTGGGCAGTGTGTGATCAAGTCCCATTAAATTCTAGACACTAAAAGCTTAGCTGAGCTTCCCTGGTTGGTAATACTCTGTATTGCCACACAATGTGACTGGGAGAAGGTGATGCTTCCATGACTTCATGGAAAGAGGGTGATCAAAACCTCCACACTTGAACCTCTCCCAAACTCTACTCTGTACATCTCTGCCTGTGGCACATTTCCACCTGTGTCCTTTCGCCTGTAATAAATCAAGGGTATAATAGCTTTCAGTGAATTCTGTGAGTCCTGTAGAATTGCCAAACCTGATTTTGAAACCACCTCCCACCACACACCCCCACCTCCAATGCCTAAACTTGCAGTTGGTGTTAGAAGTGAGGTCAATTTTGTGAGGCCTGTTCCCTCTAATAGTACTCTTGTTGAAACTCTTCATGGTATTGTTGTTGTTTAGCCTGTAAGTCATGTCTGACTCTCTTGCAACCTCATGGACTGTAGCCTGCCAGGCTCCTCTCCCCATGGGATTTCCCAGACAAGAATGCTGAAATGGGTTGCCATTCCCTTCTTCAGGGGATCTTCCTGACCCAAGGATTGAACCCATGTCTCCTGCATTAGCAGGTGGATTCTTTACCACTGAGCAACCCTTCATATATCACTACTAATCTTACAGAAATAAAAACGGGATTATAAAGGGATACTATGAACAATTGCAGACCAACAAATTAGATAACCTAAATGAAATGAATGCATTTATAGAAAGACAAACTGTTAAATGACTCAAGTTAGATAGAGACAATCTGTATATACCTATAGAAAGTAAAAAGATTGACATAATCATCAAAAAACAAAACCAAAAAACTACCCACAAGGAAAACCTGAAGCCTAGACGGCTTCACTGGTGAATTTTATGAAACATTTAAAGAACAAACACAACTCTTACAAATTGTTTCAAAGAACAGAACAGCTCCCAACTTGTTCTTTGAAGCCAGAATTACCCTGAAACCAAAATCAGACAGATATCACAAGAGGAGAAAACCACATCCCTTGTAAATATGGACATAAAAATTTTCAACAAAATATGAGCAAACGGAATCCAACAACATTTAAAATGGGTTATATATCATGACGAACTGTGACTTATCTCAGGAGTGCAGGAATTCATAAGTGCGTCAGAATTTAAAAGAGTCAGTCAAACCACACTGTATTAATAGAATAAAGGTACCAAACCACAAGGTCATCTTAATAGATACATAACAAAGCATTTGCCACAATCCGATGTCCTTCTGATGCTGAAGCTCCAATACTTTGGCCACCTGATGCGAACAGCTGACTCATTTGAAAAGACCCTGATGCTGGGAAAGATTGAAGGCAGGAGGAGACGGGGATGACAGAGGATGAGATGGTTGGATGGCATCACCAACTTGATGGACATGAGTTTGAGCAAGCTCCAGGAGTTGGTGATAGACAGGGAAGCCTGCTGCAGTCCATTGGGTCACAAAGGGTCGGACACGACTGAGCGACTGAACTGAATTGAACATCCTTCTTGATAAAAATACTCAACAACTAGGAATAGAAGGAAATTTCCCAAACTTAATAAAGGGCATCTACAAAAACCCACAGCTAACAGCATACTTAATGGTAAAATACTGAAAGCTTTCTTTCTAAGGTCGGCAATAAGATGAGGATGTTTACTTTCACCACATGTACTGGAGGGTTTATCCAAGGAATTAGGCAATGAAAGAAAGATGTAAAACCGTCACAGATTACATGCTTTTGTAAATAGAAAATCCTGAGAAATCCACAGATACTTAGGTAAGCCTATTAGAACTAATAAATGAGTTTGGCGAATTTGCAGGCTACAAAATTAACATCAAAAAATCAATTTCTAGACATTAGCAATGAAAAATCCAAAAGTGAAATTCAGAAAACAATTTGATTTACAATATCATAAAAAAATAATATTTAGCAATAAAGTTGCTAATGGGTACAGGGTTTCTTTCGAGGGTGATAAAAATGCTTGATATTAGTGATGATAGTTGATAGTTTTGTAAATATACTGAAAACCACTGAAATATAAGGTTTAAAGTTTTATGATATGTGAACTATATCTCAGTAAACCTATTATTTAAACAAATAAGTTGTGTCTTTATACAGCAGCAACTAACAGAAAATGATTTTTTCTAACTACTATCTATAAGAGTAATAAAAACACCTTGGAATAAATCTAACAAAAGTTTGCAAACTCTGGGAATTTTATAATTTTATAAAGGTTTTAGAAACTTTACTTCTATAAAAGTTTTATTTAAAAAACTTAGTCTTTTAGCTTCTCAAGCAGAACTCTGAGGTTTTTTTTTTAATCACTACAGCATCACTTTCTAAATTATATTTGAAGTGTTTAGTTAGAATGTGAACTATTTAAAAGTTAACTTCTATGGATAGGAAGGTAGGATTTGTATTAAGAAGGAATAGTAAAATGTGATATTGTTATTGTTAACCATTTTATATCATTTATAGCCTATTGTCATTGTACAGTGTCAGTACTGTACTAGATCTCTCCAGGTAATGTTAGGGTGGCCAGAAATGTGTATGATAACATATCGTTGTTGTTAATTTTGACATAAAATAGAATCCAGTTTAAGTAAATCCAAGGAGAACTTAATTTCTCTAGACTGGTAAATCTGCTCTCAACTTCTCCCTCCTGCTGGTAATACATAATCATATTATATTTCTTTTTCTAGCTATGTTTTTCATTAATGCTGGGGCTTAAAAAAAGGTGAAATCTTTGGTTTAAAACTACTAGTCTTTGATATCAGGGTTCATTTTGCAGATTTAAATTGTATTGGCCAACTATCATTTAGTAATCTTTCTAGTCACATAAAACAACAAAAAACCTAAGTCTGAGTATCTGGATGGAAAACAAACTTGACTGAGATAACTTTCCAGCCCATTAAATGAGAATCTAGTGTTTGACCTTTTATTTAGAAAATTGCTATATGCCTTTATTTATTTATTTCATAAATGTAAGGGATTTTCTGGAAGTGCTTTGCTGTTTATCTGCTTGTTCTGTACTATTTTGATTTCATACCCTTTAGATATCTGGATTTGAACTGGATCTTAGAACTCATCTTTACTTACAATGCCACCATCAAATGGAGGTCCAGCTGGATACACCCCACCAGATGGAGGCTGGGGGTGGGCAGTAGTCGTTGGAGCTTTCATTTCCATTGGTTTCTCTTGTGCATTTGGCAAATCTATTAGTGTATTTTACAAAGAAATTGGAGAAATATTTAAAGCCAGCTCCAGCGAAGTGTCATGGTTATCTTCCATTGCGTTTGCTGTCATGTACGCTGGAGGTAAGTACCCATGAAGGCTTGCTCTTTTAACTTTCAATGGGTAGACAGCAATTCTGTATTAAGTACTTTTTGCTCTTGATATCTTTATCAGTAAGAATAATTGAAATGTTAGTTATTGGAGTTATTTGATTAGAATCATATTTTTCATTCTAACAATGAAAGTTACATAGCAACCATGTGTTCTGTTGGGTCAGTTATAATATAAAACAGTGTCATTATAAAGGATAGTTTTCTTTAAAAACACATTTTGTGTTGGCTGCTGGGTATAGACAGGTAATTGGTATTTGTACTTTAATCATATATCCTGTAAGCTTGCTAAACTCTTATTTCCAGTTGTTTATTGGTAGATTTCTTTTTCAAAAATTTTAGGTAGACAAACAAATCTTCTGCAAATACTGATAGTTTGGTTTCTTCCTTTCCTTACACCTTTTTTCCTCCTGTCTTTCTGCGCTGGCTTGGACCTCCAGTATAATGTTGAAGAAAAGTGGTGATGGTAGGCTTTCTTATTTTGTAGGCCTGTTTTGGATTTGTTATTGTTTTCTATGAGAAACAATATTTTAGGTAGTTTGTAGTAAATATGCCCTTAAGTCAGAAGTATGATCAGACTTGCTCATATATCTTATCAGTCATGTATGTTTAAATTCCATCTAAAGTTTTAAAACAAGGACTTCCCTGGTGGTTGAGTGGCTAAGACTCCATGCTCCCAGTGCAGGGGGCCCAGGTTCAACCCTGGTCAGGGAACTAGACCCCACATGCCACAACTTAAAGAGTTCATATGCTGCAACTAAGACCCAGAGCAAACAAATAAATAAATTAAAATATTTTTTAAAAAAATCTAAAATAAGCAAACTTGCTACATATATGTGGATAATATCCTAGATAATGAAGGATCCTATAAGCACTTATAATCAGGGTACTTGCAGCCTCTTCTGCCTTAGAAGAGTTAGCTTATGGTCTTTCATACTTCAGTTAAAACCCATCTAACATGTCCTAGGTATATAGAAGATGTATAATCAATACTATATTTTTTTCCATTAAACAAACCTGTGACTCTGAAATAAAGATAGAAAGCAATATTCTTTAGCACTGTGTTCTATCTGTTTGTTTTCTGGGATAGCATCCTGTCATGTCAGTAATGGCATGAGCAGGTGTGGATGGGAGGGCTGGGCTTCTCCTCTATATTATTACTAATCTGTTTGTTCTCTCATAGGTCCTATTAGCAGTATCCTGGTGAATAAATATGGCAGTCGCCCCGTCATGATTTTTGGTGGCTGCTTGTCAGGCTGTGGCTTGATTGCAGCTTCCTTTTGTAGCACTGTGATGGAACTTTACATTTGCATCGGAGTTATTGTAGGTGAGTTGTACTAATGCCTTTTCAAGCAATAATTTCTTTGTGGACTATTATAGCATCCATTTGCCAACTCTTTTGAAAAATGAAAGTTCTTTGCTAGAAAATTACTAGGTCACTATGTTTTAGAGCTGTTGATACATTAATTTAATAGTATTAGAAAAGCAAGTCTTTAAAGAAAGTTCAGATTAAGTGTAAAAGTAATCACACTTAATGAGTGATTATTTTTTATTGAATGAATACAGTGAAAGAGAATTCTTTTTCTATCTTTTCTTTTTTTTTTTAATAAGGAAGATTGCACCGATAGGTAAAAAGTTGTTGAGAGGGAGGTCATTAACTGTTCCCACTCATTCCCCCTTCTGCCTAAGAAGACACTAGCTCAAATTGGAGAAAGAGAGAATGTCAGATACATAGAAAGAATTTTCTGATAGAAAAGTCAGATACATTTTCAAAGGATAAAGAGCACACATGGGAAAACCCCCTTTCTAATAGCTAAGAAAACAGAACTGCTGAATATAAATACTGTCAAACACCCAGAGCTCTACAGTTCAGAGAAAACTACCATGAATATTTTGATGACGTGGGGGGTGAGGGATAAACTGGGAGATGAGGATTGAGATATGCACACTTCTATATGTAAAGAAGATAATTTATAATAATCTGCTGTACAGCACAGGGAACTCTACTCAATACTCTGTTCTGGCATATATGGGAAAGAATCTTAAAAAAAACAAGAGTAGATGTATGTACATGTATAACTGATTCACTTTGCTATACAACTGGAACTAACACAACATTGTAAATCAACTATACTCCAATAAGATTTATTTAAAAAACATTTTGATGCCATATCCACAGATTTTTCTATAGTTTTTCTATATGCTTTTTCTACAGTTTTCTATCTTTCTAAAAACAAAACAAAAATTTTTGTTTTAAAAATTCTTCTATGCAAAAAGGGATGAGATTTAGAACAAAAAGGGATGAGATTAAGTGAAGTAAGTCAAAAACAAATATCATGATATCACTTATATGTGGAATCTAATTTTAAAAAATTATACAAATGAACTTATTTATAGAAACAGACTTACAGATATTGAAAAAACTTATGGTGACTAAAGGAGAAATGTTGAGGGGTAGGAGATAAATCAGGAGCTTGGGGTGAACATACACACACTACTGTATTTAAGAAAGATAATGAACAAGGACAATAATACAAGGAATTCTACTCAGTACTCTGTGCTAACCTGTAAGAGAAGAAAATCTTGAATGAATATATGTATATGTAAAACTGAATCACTTTGCTATACACCTGAAACTAACAAAAATCAGCTATACTCCAGTGAAGTTAAAATTTTTTAAAAAAGGGATATTGTTGTTCAGTCACTAAGTCGTGTCCAACTCTTTGTGACCCCATGGACTGCAGCTCATCAGGCTTCCCTGTCCTTCACTATCTACTGGAGTTTGTGCAAACTCATGTCCGTTAAGTCAGTGATGCCATCCAACCATCTCATCCTCTGTTGCCCCTTTCTCCTCCTGTCCTCCATCTTTCCCAGCATTGGGGTCTTTTCCAATGAGTTGGCTCTTTGCATCAGGTGGCCAAAGTATTGGAGCATTGGTTTCAGCATCAGTCCTTCCAATGAATATTCAGGATTGATTTCCTTTAGGATTGACTGGTTTGGTATCCTTGCCATCCAATTCTTTGGCACTCAGCTTTCTTTATGGTCCAGTTCTCACATCCATACATGACTACTGGGAAAACCATAGCCCTGACTATATGGACCTTTGTCAGCAAAGTGATGTCTCTGCTTTTTGATATGCTGTCTAGGTTTGTCATAGCTTTCCTTCCAAGAAGTAAGTATCTTTTAATTTCATTGCTGCAGTCACTGTTCCACAGTCATTTTGGAGCCCAAGAAAATAAAATCTGTCACAGTTTCCACTTTTTCCCCTTGTATTTGCTGCAAAGTGATGGGACCAGATGCCATGATCTTAGTTTTTTGAATGTTGGGTTATAAGCCAGCTTTTTCACTCTGGCTGAGGTGAAAGATGAGGTGAAAGACCCTCATCTAGAGGCTCTTAAGTTTCCCTTTGCTTTCTGCCATTAGAGTGGCATCTTCTGCATATCTGAGATTGTTGATATTTCTCCCAGCAATCTTGATTCCATCTTTTGAGTCATCCAGCCCAGGATTTCGCATGATGTAAGTTCTACACATAAGTTAAATAAGCAGAGCGACAATATACAGCCTTGACGTACTCCTTTCCCAATTTGGAACCAGTCTGTTGTTCCATGTCAGTTCCAACTGTTGCTTCGTGACCTGCATGCAGGTTTCTCAGGAGGCAGGTCAGGTGGTCTTGTATTCCCATCTCTTTAAGAATTTTCCTGTTTGTTATGATCTACACAGTCAAAGACTTTTAGCATAGTCAATGAAGCAGAAATAGATGTTTTACTGGAATTCCCTTGCTTTCTCTATTATCCAATAAATGTTGGCAATTTGATCTCTGGTTCCTCTGCCTTTTCTAAACCCAGCTTGTACATCTGGAAGTTCTCAGTTCATGTACTGCTGAAGCCTAACTTGAAGGATTTTGAGTATTATTTTGCTAGCATGTGAAATGAGTGCAACTATACAGTAATTTGAACATTCTTTGGCATTGCCCTTTTTTGGTATTGGAATGAAAACTGACCAGATTATGTGAAATGTTTGTAACAAGTTTTTTTTACTTAGTAATACATGTGCATAGCCCTATATGCAAAACAGAAAAAGAGACTCAGATGTATAGAACAGACTTGTGGACTCTGTGGGAGAAGGCGAGGGTGGGATGTTTCAAGAGAACAGCATCGAAACATGTATATTATCTAGGGTGAAACAGATCACCAGCCCAGGTTGGATGCATGAGACAAGTGCTCGGGCCTGGTGCACTGGGAAGACCCAGAGGGATGGGGTGGAGAGGGAGGTGGGAGGGGGGACCGGGATGGGGAATACATGTAAATCCATGGCTGATTCATTTCAATGTATGACAAGAAACACTGCAATGTTGTAGAGTAATTGGCCTCCAACTAATAGAAATAAATGGAAAAAAATAAAAATAAAAAAATTAAAAAATTTTTATAAATAATAATAATAAAAAGTAATACATGTACATTAATATGTACATATTAATAATTAATAATAATTAATGCACATATTAATAGTTTCCCCATTTCAGTAAATATACTTTAGCAGCTATTATTTTTTCACTGGATAGATGTACTATAATTTATTTCACTTTAATTGAAGGACATTTAGATTGTTTGTATTTTCACTCTTAATAAAGGGTATGATAGTGCCTCTGTATGCATCTTTGAAAATGATAATTTTCTTTGGATAAATTTGTAGAAGTGTAATTGCTGGGGGAAGAAAAGGTTTTTGATATAATTGGTCAAGTACTCTTTTAGAAAGGTTTAAACAATTTACAGCACCACCTGCAGGACCTGAGATAATGCTAATAATAGGTACTATTTTTTTTTTTTTGGTACTATCTTTTTAGATCTATACTTTTACTACATTAAATTTTTAAACATTTAAATATTTTAATTCATCTGGAATATTTGAATAACACAAAGAAGGAATAGAACTTTATTTGTTTCCACATGGTTATTCAACCTGTTCATTATTTCATGTCATTAATTCACTCAGCAAATATTCATTGAGTCCCTAACTATATGCCAGGGACTGGTCCAAGCTCTGTGGGGAGACCCAATATGAAAAGCAAGATTCCTGCTCTTTAGTGGAGGGAATCAGACAATAAACAGGCCAACAAATAAATGAATAAATAAGAAAAATTCAGGTAGTAATAAGTGCTTTGCAAAGACTTAAAAGAGAATTTGATAGAGAAGGATCTAAAGGTCCCTAAAGGGAAGGCTTCTGAGATCATGCTTTTGAGTTGAGTTCTGAATGATAGCCAGGAGAAGTCTTTGTGGAAACCTAGAGTAATAGTTAAACTTTGCACAAATAAGAACAGACTGAAATGAGGGCAGGGAGGTAGGTGTGAGCCAAGTCGTAGGATCTCTTAATCCAGAGTGAAAAGTTATGGACAGGCAGTCATTAGAGAGATGGAAATGGACAAGCATCCTAACCTGTTTACCTAGTAGGAAAGCAAGATTGAAGACCACTTAAAAGGTTATCAGCATAGTTACTATCCCAACCCCACTAGCTGAAAAATCCATTTTTCCCCTATTAATTTCAGTGTATCTTTTGGTTCTATTTCTGGAATTTCTGCCCACTTTTAGAAATCAGTTATTCAATTTTGAGTAAGTGTTCTGTTCTATTACTGTAGCTGTACAAATAGGCCCACCAATTATGTATCCTTTGCCAGTAGTTCTAATGCATTTGTAATTATGAAATTAGACAAAGAATCTCTATTGTTCTTTTTGTTGCTAAAGTGAAAAGAATTGTTTTTAATAATATACATTTTTTAGGGACTTCCCTGGTGATGCAGCAGTTAAGATTCCACACTTCCACTGTAGGGGGCATGGGTTCAATCCCTGTTCAGGGCACTAAGATCCTGCAAGCCACATGGCACACCACATACACACACACACACACACACACACACGTGTGTGTGTGTGTGTGTATAAATCTAGTATTTGCTGCAAAAGAGATTTTGTGTCTGTATTTATTTGATAATAGTCCACTTCATGACTTACTAGTTACAATAGCCTCTCATGATTTTGACCGCTTTCCATGTCAGTTCTTTCCCTAGTTAATAATTTCTAAATATGTTTCTGATAGTATGTGATTCTTTTTTCCTCCCCTTTCCCCAGGTCTCGGGCTTGCCTTCAACTTGAATCCAGCTTTGACCATGATTGGCAAGTATTTCTACAAGAAGCGACCATTAGCAAATGGACTAGCCATGGCAGGCAGCCCTGTGTTCCTCTTTGCCATGGCCCCTCTCAACCAGGCTCTTTTTGCTCTCTTTGGCTGGAGAGGAAGCTTCCTAATTCTGGGGGGCCTCCTACTAAACTGCTGTGTGGCTGGAGCCCTGATGAGACCAATAGGGCCCAAGCCAACCGCTGCAGAGAAAGAGAAGTCTAAAGGATCCCTTCAGGAAGCTGGAAAGTGTGATGCAAACAAGGGGGCAGGTAATCCAAAGGCAGGAGTTAGCGGCAGAAACTCCCCAAAGGAGAAACAATCACTTTCTCAAGCAGTTAACAAACTTTTGGACCTATCCCTGTTCAAGCACAGAGGCTTCCTGCTGTACCTCTTTGGGACTGTGATCATGTCTTTTGCGCTGGCTGCGCCTTTAGTCTTTATTATCAATTACGCCAAGAGTCAACATCACTCTGGTGAGAAGGCTGCTTTCCTTCTTTCCATTCAGGCTTTTGTTGACATGGTATCCAGACCTTGTATGGGATTTGTAGCCAACACAAAGTGGGTAAGACCACGAATTCAGTACTTTTTGGCTGCTTCTATTATCGCAAACGGAGTATGTCATATGCTAGTTCCTTTATCTTCCAGCTACATGGGGTTCTGTGTCTACTCGGGATTCCTTGGATTTGCTTTTGGGTGGTTTGGTGCTGTACTGTTTGAAACACTGATGGACCTTGTGGGAGCCGAGAGATTCTCCAGCGCTATGGGATTGATGACCATTGTGGAGTGCTGGCCTATGCTCCTGGGGCCACCAGTTTTAGGTACAGTATGTCTCTATATTTCTATGGTTCTATTAACATAAAACAGGCAGAGAAGATTGGGAAGGTGATGGGAAGCAGAATCCTAATCGTTTCTGTATTCTGTCATATAGTGTAAGACTATGATGTCAGACTATTATTGTTCCCACTTTAAAGAAATAGAGGCTTTTGGAAGTGAAATAACTTGCCCAGGATCACACAGCTAAGAAGTGACCCTAAAACCTGAGGTATTATCCTCTCAGTCAGTGCTAAACAGTACCTTTAAAAATTATCATTAATACAAAATACAATGATAATTTGGACCTCTGGATGTGATGCATGTTTTTGAGATTATGCACTCTAAAGCTAGGAAGGACACATAATGAAAGACCCACTACTGACCTGTCAAAACTTTTCCACCTTCTGTCCTCCATAAGATCTTACAGAAAAACCCAAATGAACTCTTTTGGCCAACCCAGTATATCCAAGGAGATTCCAAATCCTATTCGTTTTTGCTTCCTAAATCTCTTTCTAATCTGCTCATTTTTTTCTCCATCACTACTGCTCTTATCCTAATCTCCGATCTTCTATCAGTAGCCTTCTAACTTTACCCATATCCATTCTAGCTGTTCTCCAGTCTCTTAGAACACTCCAGTTGCTTCCTGCGTTCTTAGGGTGAGGATCAGATTCCCTACTGTGGCTGCTGGTTCCTGCATGGCCTGGCTGCCTCTTTCTCCAGCCTCATTTCCTACCACTCCGTTAGCCTTCTGTGCTTCCCCTCTCACCTGGTGCTTCCTCCTGCCACCTGCCTCAGCACTGGCTGTTCTCTGCCCGGATCCTTTTCCCATCTCCTTTCTCCTAGATTAATTCTTATCCTTCTGTAAGTCTTGGTTAAGTTTACACTGTTAAAAAGCCTTCCTGACCCTCCTTGTTAGCCCCAAACCCCTATTTTCTGCTCTCAAACACACCTGTAGCACTTGTCACAGTCTGTGTGGTTACTGCATTAACATTTCTCTTCTCTACTGAACTCTGGATGTTATCTGCTTTGCTCACTCTTAACTCAGGGCTTAGCAGACCCAGGGCCGTACTGATATATAGAAACTAAGTATTGCTGAGAGTGTTGCCCTGCATTGGAAAACCATATGAATTCATATTTGAATTGGTTATTATAGCTTGTATATGTGTCGAGTTTTCCAAAGTTTATTTCTTAATACTAATTTGATGAGTTGCTAATAAATTTTACTATAACAAGGATTAAATAAGTTTCTTTAATATCACACCTCATAAAAACTTGAATAGAAAAGACTATGATGTGTCGTTTCCAAATTTACTTGACTGTGCAAATGTTAGGGAGGTAGCCTGAAGCAAAGAAGTTATGGGTGCACGCCTCAGGGTCAGACTCCCTGGGTTTAAAGCCAATTTGTTTCACTTAAAGCTTTGTGACCTTGGATGACTTCCTTAAAGTTTCTGTACTTCAGTTTTTATGTTATACAGTGGGAATGATGATAGAATCTTCCTGTTGTGAGGTTAGAATGGTGGAAAGTATTGCTGTTAGTTAATGTTTCAGCAGAGGGTGAGTGTTCCCAGGAACACCCTTTGGGAAATGCTGATGTCAGAAAAAGTGCATTGGCCTGGGAGACTGGAATTAGCTCTGTGGCCTTGGGCAAGACTCCTAAACCTCTTTTGAGCAAATTTTTCCATTGGATTACTGAGAGAATTGATTCTAGGTGATCTCCAGGACTTTCTCAATTCAAATTTGCCGAGATTTAATTATTTTCAAGTTGCTAAAGATAACAATGTGCAGGGACATCCCAAAATCAGTGTTACATCATAAACAAGAGATCTTATAATTTTGAGCATTTTCTTTTTAGACTAATTTGTCATTTGTGGGCTCTTTGAACGGATCCTTAACCTTCACTTGGGAAAGGGTATAACTGTTTACCCACATAACTTTGTTTTTTGGACATCCTTAGGTCGTCTCAATGACATATATGGAGACTATAAATACACATACTGGACATGTGGCATAATCCTTATTGTCTCTGGCATCTATCTTTTCATCGGCATGGGCATCAATTACCGACTTGAGGCTAAAGAACAGAAGGCAGAAGAGAAACAGAAAAAGGAAAGTAAAGAGATGGAACCAAAAGAAGTTATTAAAGCTGCTCAGTCTCCAGAACTGAATGGCACAGAAGAAGGACCCAAAGAGGAGAAACTCTGAGGCTGAAATCAGGGATAAACAGAAGCTTTGGACCAAAGATACATGAAAAATGCTACTGAATCATGTTCTACTCTTGGTGCTTACCATGGACAGTGGACACTTGTGTAGAAGTCAGATCAGGTGTTCACTGATGGAACTTTTATTCCTTCCTCTACACCCATCATAATAAATAAGTCACACTTTTTAGGGGCAAGGGACATCTGCAAAAGATGACAGAGGAAATAGCTTTTATTTGAAGTCATATTTATTGCGGTATGTTTACATACTGTTCATACTCCTTTTATAAAAGTGAAGTTTAATGAATTTTGACAAAGTTCTTTTGTCAAATAACTATCATTCCAATGTAGAACATTTCGAACAGCCAAGATAATTCCCTTCTGCTCCTTTGCAGTCAATCCTCTCTCCTTAACTAAATCACCTGATACCTACTACCCCTATGCCTGCATGCTCAGTAGTGTTGACTCTTTGGGATCCCATGGACTATGTAGCCCACCAGGCTCCTATGTCCATGGGAGTCTCTGGAGTGGGTTGCCATGCCCTCTTCCAGGGGATCTTCTCCACCCAATTCATATCTCTTGCATCTCCTGCATTGACAGGCGATTCTTCACTACTGTGCCACCTGGGAAGCCTGTATGGAATGACATAGTATGTAACTGTGGCATGATAGCATATATTTGATCTTTATCCTCAGTTCCTGGTATACAGTTCCTAGAACCCTTGGAACCTTGGGAGTGATAAGAATATCTTTTGCATGCTAATTAAGTGACTGGTGGCTGGAGGCCCCCTTCCTAACTTCAGGATGGGGGCTAGTCTCTAGGAAGGCCAAGGCATGATTAGAAGGTTGGCTCTTTCAGCCCCATCCCCTGACCTCTGGGGAGGGGAGAGGGACTGGAAATTGAGTTCAATTATTAATGTCCAATAAAATAATCGATCACACCTATGTAATAAAACCCCCTAAACTACAGAGAGCTTCCTGGCTGGTGAGTATCTTAAGGTACTGGGAGAGTAGTGTGCCCAGATAAGGCATGGAAGCTCCCTGCCGCTCCTCCCCTCCATATTTTGCCCTATGACTCTCTTCCATCTGGCTGTTCTGAAATGCATACTTTACAATAAACCACTGAATGTAAGCAAAGTGTTTCCCTGAGTTCAGTGATCCATTCTAGCAAATTATCAACCTTGACAAAGGAGTCATGGGAACTCCCAATTTATAGCTTTGGTCACGTACAGGTGGCAACCTGGGACTTGAGCATGGAATCTGAAGTGAAGGCAGTCTTGTGAGACTAAGCCTTTAAATCTGTGGAATCTGATGCTAACTCTGGGTACTTTATGTCAGAATTGAGTTGGACTGTAGGACACCCACTTGGTGTCTGGAAAATTGGCAAAGTGGTTGTTGGTGTGGAAATAATCCACATGTGTGGTGTCAGAAGTGTTTGAGTAAAAACAGTTGGGAGTAGCCTTCTGTGTCTGACGTCACAATAGCATAATGTTTTATGATCCATCCTGTTGCATTTTTCAGTAATTCTTTGCTTTTTATTGTTGAGGAATATTTGTTGTTGTTTTGTTGTTTAGTGGCTAAGACATGTCTGACTCTTTTGTGACCCCATGGACTGTAGCCCTTCGGGCTCCTATATCCATGAGATTTCTCAGACAAGAATACTGGAATGGGTTGCCATTTCCTCCTGCAGAGGCTCTTTCTGACCCAGGGATTGAACCCAAGTCTCCTGCACTGGCAGGCAGATTCTCTACCATGGAGCCACCCAGGAAGCCCATTTCTTTGTGCAGATGTACCATACTCTGTATATCCATCCACCAGTTGGACATTTGAGCTGTTTCCACTTTTTAGCTGTTACAAGTTAAGATGCTGTAAATATTTACTTACGGGTCTAGCAGACATATGCTTTCATTTTTCTTGGGTAGATGCCCAGCATTGAAATTGCTGAGTCATGGCAAAAGCATGGTTAACTTTGTAAGAAATCATCACACTATTTTCTCAGTGGCTATACCATTTGCTAATCTCACTAATGATGTATGAAAATTCTAGCTATTCTGTATTCTTGTCAGCACTTGGCATTGATCCTTTTAACTTTCCCTTTCTAGTTGGAATGTAGTGGGTGACATTTCCTTGAACATGAATGATGTTGACCATTTTTTCATATGTTGCCCTCCATACACTTTTAGAGACTTTTTTTTTTTTGGCCGTGCTGTGTGGCGTGTGGGATCTTAGGTCCCCAACCAGGGGATGAATCCCTGTGCCTTGCTGTGGAAGTGCAGTGCAGAGTCCTAACCACTGGACCGCCAGGGAATTCCAGAGTTTTATTTTTTAAGCTTGACATTTAACAGTCCAAAATATTTAGGTTCCTTGAGTTTTTATCTTTCAAATTCTTTAGATGACTTTGCTTGGCATATCTGACAGTGAAATGAATAATGTATTTGAACATCCTTAAATGTGTAGAGTATATTTAAATAGATGGTTATGAAGTCTCATAGCATGAAAAGATCCTTCTGTTATAAGCATGATGCAGTGTTAAGTGAGAAATGCAGAACACAAACTAGATAAGCGTATATAATATACTCTCGGGGGGGGGTGGGGAAGGGGAAAACATAAAATTCCAACCATACTTGTGTTGGAATGGTTGATTTTTACCCTATATCTGTTTTTCTTAATGGGAATGTGAGTGTTATCTTTTCATCAGTGACAGGAAAAATAGATTTGAAATAGAAGAGTTGTGACAAAAGGAAATTATCTCCTAAGGAAATGAAGTTAATGGTTATTATAAGCCATTGTTTATCGTGAAGAGTGGCATTCCGGTGAAAGGGAGGTGTGTGTGACATGGAAGTCAGGAGCACAGAGCACAAGGACTTCGCTGGTGGGCCAGTGGCTAAGACTCTGTGCTCCCAATGCAGGGGACCTGGGTTCAATCCCTTGCCAGGAGCTAGATCCTACATGCCACAACTAAGAGTTTGTATGCTTCACCTAAAGATCTTGCATGCTGTAACGAAAGATCCTACATGCTGATCCCTCGTGCCACAACTAAGATCTGCCTCAGCCAAATAAATAGCAATTTTAAAAACAAAAAACATTAGAAAGAGCACAGAGCACAAATGGCCTCAAGGCATGGTTCTCCTGGTCCTGGACAAAGCTGTGGGGTGTAGAGGCCACAGGCCACCTGTGCCAACCATCACTGCCTCCTTCCTGGAGACAGCATTCCTGTGATTCCCCCTCCAGTCACCATTCAGCTGCAAATGACCGTTTAACTCAGGAAGCTAGAGCTCTCAGTGCTCACCCACATCACAGCATTATTGAACATTATCTTAATGAGATCAGCATCAGAGAAAAATATGGTGATGTCATAAAAAGACAGGATACTATGGGCCAAAGGAGGAAGTCGACCTTTCCACACATCGATTCAACAGATAACATTGACATTTACCCTGTCTGAGTTGTCAGTTCAAAACAAGGTTCTAGGTATTGAAAATTCATTAGGGAGTGAAACTCAGCAGTCTGTGTTCTATGGATCTTACTTCTGGTAGGGGAAGGCAAACAGTGAACAGCAAGTTGAAAGGGAAACAGCAATTTTCAGAATAGAGCAGTGGGTAAAAGATCATTTATTCATTGATCTAAGCAGCGTGTTTTGAGCATCATCTAAGTACGTATTTGGGGTTCCCTAGTATTTCAGCTGGTAAAGAATCTGCCTGTACTGCAGGAGATTCCTGGGTCAGGAGGATCCCCGGGAGAAGGGAGAGGCTACGCACTCCAGTATTCTTGGGCTTCCCTGGTGGCTCAGCTGGTAAAGAATCTGCCTGCAATGTGGGAGACCTGGGTTCGATCCCTGGGCTTGGAAGATCCCCTGGAAGAGAGCCTGGCAACCCACTTCAGCATTCCTGCTTGGAGAATCCCCATGGACCCCATGTGCCTGGTGGGCTGCAGTCCATGGGGTCACGAAGAGTCGGATACAACTGAGGACTAAATACAGCACAGCATGGGTTTCTATTTGCTGGACAGAGGGGATAACAAAACAAAATCCAGTTCCTGGCAGCCCCAGCTTCTAGTCTAGTGGGGAAGATGGCTCAGTTAGTGCTGCGATGAGACAGCATATGAAAAAGCAGCTAACTTCCCTTTGGGAGAGCCTAGGAAGCCTAAGAGTATATCAACTCTTGAATCTTATAACAGAAGCATAATATAATTGTTGTGAGGATTAGCACATAGTTTCAGTCATTTTAGTAATGGAATTGGAATCTACTCACACCCTGCAGTGCAGGGAGGAAAGTGTATGTGATATCATTAACCAGAACAATAATGGGAGAGAACTGCTGGTAACACATGTTCAGTCTATGAAGCCCTTCTCCATGCAGTTTTTTTTTCCCCATTTATTTTTATTAGTTGGAGGCTAATTACTTTACAATATTGTAGTGGTTTTTGTCATACATTGACATGCATTAGCCATGGATTTACATGTATTCCCCATCCCGATCCCCCCTCCCACCTCCCTCTCCACCCGATCCCTCTGGGTCGTCCCAGTGCACCAGGTCTGAGCACTTGTCTCATGCATCCAACCTGGGCTGGTGGTCTGTTTCACCCTAGATAATATAATGTTTCGATGCTGTTCTCTTTGAAACATCCCACCCCTCCATGCAGTTTATTATCCAACTCCCACAAAACCCCAGGGAGGTAGCTATAAGTAAAACAATACATACAGTATCTTGGATTAGGTCCTGGAACCAAAAAAAAAAAAGTTAATGGAAAAATTGGTCTGTAGTTTAGTTAATAGGACTGTCCAATGTTAACTTCCTAGTTATGACCAATGTTCCATGATTATGAAAGAAATTAACATCAGAGGAAGGGAAACATGTATAACTAAATCACTTTGCTGTATACCTGAAACTAACAGAACAATGTAAATCAACTGTACTCTGATATAAAATAAAACTTTTTAAAAAAAATTTAAAAAAAATCTTAGAGCTACGTGAAGAGTATAGGAACTGAATGTGCCAACTTTTCT